AAGAAAATGTATTCACTTCCAGTCCACCCTTTGTAAAGTTATCTAGTAAGTTGACTCAAGCAAAAACACGAAAGTTATTTATGTTACGAAAGTAAACTCCACGAAGGGAATTTCGGAAAATTCTCGATGACGCAGGAAAAATGAGGATACCCACGTAGAATGCCGCGGGCGGTTGTTTTTTTTATCAATAAATGTAGTTCAATAGATCGAGTTATGATACAACCGTTGATGCATGAGAGCTATTGTGTAGTAAATGACAAGAGACAAGCCCAGCAGGGTGTATTGGGATGGTCACATGGCTCCCGAACGGTCGGACGCCGGCCGGCAACGGATGCAGCCTAATGACATAAATGCAAATCCGACCATTCGAGCTTCCTGCACGTCGCAGCCCGACTACACCGGCTACACACTACACACACACAAACACATACCACTCTCTCCTTATACGGACATATTTAGAAAAATAAGCTTCATTTCAGGTACCAGTTTTTGTACGTACGACTCAACCTTAATTGGATTTAGCTGCTCAAGTTATTTAATCAACATTTTTCTGCGCATTATTTTGTTAATTAAGAGCTTATCTGATATGAGTGATGTGGTTTTCGTACATTCCGATGTTGTAGTGCATTAGACTCGCCTATAAATCCCGTGGCGACGCAAGTCGTTAACTTGAAGCGACGTATGCTTGAAATAAAACCACACAGTAGTTTCTCTTGTTTTTATTACTCGGTGATCGTTAACACAATATAAAGTACTATATTTTGGTTCAGTCGGGAACTTAAAAAAAAACAACTAAACGCTAACATTTTGGTACAAGACAACGCGAAGTGTACCGGTGGTGTGCTATGGTACATACATACGATATATAACTTGAAGGATTCTAGTTTATTATCATGACACCACAATAGGTTTACATGTACTACATGGCCACTGATGATAGACCTGATCGGAATCGTACCCTCAGAAGGAACGACTGGGAGTTTAGGGAGTATGGTGCTCGCTACATCGGAACGATAATATTAAGGATGGGAGCATTTCGGGTGGTAGCGGAGAGGAATATGAAGTGTACCATTGTTAAAAATTGGCTGACGGCACACCAGCAACGCTTTCAATGTGAATTCCAGTCGCTGTGGTCGAAATCGGCCAACAATAATTATATTACATTGTACTAGGATCGGTCTATCATCACCGCCAGGACTATTAGCAGCCAATAAGCCTGATATAGTGGTGATCAGGATTATTATTATTATTATGGCTAACTTATCTTATGGCTTATGCACCCATCGTTTATAAGTTATCCACGTCACTTAGACCAATATACGTACTAAGAATTTACTATATACACTCGTAAAGCATACAAAGTATCAAGGCAACTTCCAAATTAAAAGGCTTCATTTAAATTTCAAATAAGGATATTACTGCAAAACATTGGGTGCAATCGTTTTCATATCACAGGGCTTAGCGTTATTTTACACACAGAAAAATATACATACTTTATCAATACTTAGTACTAATTCGATAAACTAACTATGAGAGTAACATCGATATTGAGACAGCTCTCAAATTAATGAGATAAATAAAATTGTACAGCCGCCGACAGCGTGATCTATCAAAGCGTTACTCGGAGATATTGTTCACATCAATCTAAATATCAGTTCGACAGATCCGTTGTCAGCGAGTACAGCTATAAAGTAATTCGTAAAATGTCTTTTTATCTACGTATAAAGAAATAGCTCCATGCACACTGCTTGCGTACAATTCAGTATAAAGGACTAAATTGAAGTGACCTATAAACGTTATTGTCAAGAGCCGGCGTATCAATCGGTCGCGTCGGAGCATCCACACTCCTCCACGTTAATTGAAGCCGGCTTCAGAACATATTCATTTTACAAATTATATACACGACTACATACAATCTGCACCGTTGTAAATACAGGGAACATTTTGTTTTTATTATAACTATTGAAAGACATGCTGAATTAACTAAAAATTACTCACTAGTTTAAAAAAGCATTACTAGTTTTGAGTCGCGCAGCCTACTCTCGCTATCGCCGCGACCGCGCACGCTATTCATGAGGAAGCATCCCTCTGTGCCTCGAAACTAGTAGAGTTTTTCTCAATATTTACGTGAGGAACTCGTAATTTTTAGTTAATTCAGGGAACATTCTAACCGGATATAACATTTTATACAATTTCATTTTAATATGATTTACAAATACATACACATTTCAAAAGAATGAAAGATAATTTTGTAAACTGAAATAAACAAGAAAAAAAGGCTCAAGTGCATTGATTTACACATAACACATAATAAAAATTGTACTTAAATGCAGCAATTATTGGAATATAAAAAAGAAAGATGGCGCCGTAAATAACTTTATGAATATAATAACAGACAAGTTACAATGTTCGGGGAAAAAAATGTTTGTACAGTCTGTCGTATCGTACGGTACAACAGTTTGAAATACTTTAAAAAAAAAATTCGCTTTGATACACAATTCCCTTATACTTTCAAAGTGGAATCTTTACTTTAAACTTTGTTGCGTCAGTTTAGAGTTTAGAATGGCGCACTGGGGGTGGAATACGAAATGCACTCGTACTAAGAATAAATGCAAACAGTTCGGCATAGACTTGTTTGTTGCAGTTTACTTTCGCTATTGCCGCTTGAATGCTATATTTCGATTTCAATACAGGCTTCGTGTAAAATAGAAGAAAACTTTTATTTCTTTGAGAATTGAAAATGGCATTGTTTGTGCTGTTGTTGTTCATTCATTTTATCAGACACGAGCATTCATTGTTTACAAATTCTACTAGTGAAATGTTCACAACTAAAGTGAGCTTATATTAAATTATACAAGTCAAAACCATAGAGCTTCGAGGTACTAGAAATAGGTGATGTTTGTTCATTTATAAAAAAATAAATAATCACGCGAAACGTGGCATCGATTTTATCTAAACTCAGACTTCTATTAAGAGATATAAAACAAAATGAAACTAAAATAAATACAAAAATAAAAAAGAGCTGAACTTATCACGTAGGTACTTATTAGTTGTATACAAGGAGTTGATAAAATTAAACATAAGTCGCTAACTAATAGACAACACATGGAACACAATCGTAATATTTACAGCTGCATAGTTATACAGTACTTTATTTCGGACTTACGAGTAACTTGTCCTTATTGGCCTTAAGTTTAATTAAAAACAAGTATTTAAATTATTTGTTGTTTTTAATTAAACAATAACCAAATAAAAAGACCCCTACCATAAAACTTAACCTCAAACTTAACTCAATATGAGAACAAACATACATAGCACTCATTTTTGTTCTTTGGTCAAAAATTTTATGAGAATTTTGATTGTATACCAATTAATACAAAACGAATAGACCAAGGAGTCGACTTTGGATGCACTTATGCAAATGCTTTTACATTTCGCTAGGTACAGTAGCGGTACTAAATATAGAGCCACTAGAACACTGAGTGCACTCCAGATACCATCAACCCTCGAGAATGGCGAATGTATTAATATTTGCGGTGCATACAATTTCGTACCTTTGTCTTTTGAAGTCGACTGTACATTACGTATTAATAGACTTATTCCCTTTGTTCCGCGCTCACCGGGCTGGGCGCTGTACACTAACGATATCGATAGTGAACAGAAAGCAAAATTAAATATTACTCCGATGTTATCGATACTCGGTCCCGGACCACTCATATCGAGAGCGTTCAGCCAATACCTACACCGGCCCACAATATTGTTCGATCCGTGAGTAATAGCGCAATTACACCAGAAAATAACTACTCGTATAAATTATTCCACACTTTTGAGGTATCCTGAGCAATTTCATTCGATTTCTTATTATAGGTACGTGCTATTGATAAACTGGACTCCGAGTTACGCGGATGGCTGGACAATGGACAAGTTACCTTAACAACAACCATTAATAAACACATGATTACTTTTACTAAACAAATAAGCATTTTATGAAATAGGAACAATGCTAGAAATAATTTGTCAGCAACAAAAATGACTTGTATTAATGATAATATAATGAAACGTATCGTTTGCGACATAGGAACACGACATAATTCAATTGATAAGTAACACAATTAGCTGCACGTTCGTAAGAACGACCGGGGCCCGGGGTCGGTCCCGCTCTCGATTCTCCCACAATATAGTCGACACGATCAATCACCCGTTTCGATTCAATCACAAACAATCGCAATTGACCGCATCCTGTTCTCTCGATAAATGAGAAAAGCTGGTTAGGAAATAAATTCGGACGTCATCGGCAGTCCACGTCGCGGCCATAACCGCTTACCTCGGAGTCCTTTCACAACTCCTACTTTGAAGAATTAATGTCCACGTTCTATTTCACTTTACTTTCAAACTATTTCCAATACGATCGGATAGCCATTGCCGACGACATTGATTTATTCTATTTAAATAGCGGCCGCATGAATACTTCAAAGTAGGACGTCTGTCACAAATTTCACTGGAAATTACTAGTAACAATTACACTAAAGGCTACACTTCGTTGGGTTCAACCTAGATGCATTACCTACCCTGTATCTATCAAACGTCAACATTCATTCAACAATATAGAACAACATTACATTCCTACTACAGATATATTTATAATATATTGTATGTAATTATGTATAGTTTTAACTCTATAAGGGATGGATTTAGAGCGCATTTTACAAATAAAAATAATGTTGCCAAAGATAAAAATTAATAAAAATTCTAATTTAGAATATTTTTACTATAAATGCACGACGATTAATAAAATAAAGTTATTTGTACAGCGCGATATAAATCGATATCGTTTACGATCGCTCTGAGAAATGTACTTAATGCGTTCTAATAGTATTTACAAGGTCACAACGAGACCTATGAATAAAAAATAAATTCTTTATTCAATTTGTGTGGTTATCTATGACTAGGGTATGCACTAGGGTGGAGACGTCACTGGCGGGGCCTGCAGTCGAGGCAGGTTACTTGCCTTTAGACTTCTCAGTAGTGGCGTCTTCCAAATTGCTGTCCCAGTCAAACTCGGTGACGCCACTGCGTGCCACTTCTCCCAAATGCCGCCACCGGTACTCGAAGTCCGTGTCTCGTTTCTTCAATGCTTCGAATCTGCAGACAAGTAATTAGGTCATACCATTGTAGAGAATGTACAACACAGGTGCACACACGCTCGGAGCCCTTACAACGCTCTACTCGTGTCGGCTACATATTACATGCGCAAATATAATTGCTCCGGCAATCACAAAGCATTATACAGCTCAATTAACAACACAAACATACCCTGAATTCCTTAAATTCGTACAAACGTACGCAAACCGAGTACGGCTAAAATTCTCCCCGAGACAAAATTACTTTGACACAGTTATCCAACTTTTGCTGTACCCGTGGTATCGGGCCATAGTGGAGAAATAAAAGAAATTCTATCGAATCAAGCGTAGGCACCGCAAACGTGCGTTAAAAAGGGCGCAGATCCCTTTAGATTAGAAACCCAATCTAAAGCGACATTTCTCAACTTATATCCTCGGGGTCACGGCGACACGCCGAGGTCACCGCACAAATATGTATCGTATGCGCACTAAATCTGGCCACGCGTGAATTTCAACACAAAATTCGATTTATGAATACACATTTTGTGTTACATTTTAAATCATTTATTACTGAAGTAAATAAAATCTGATATTATACTTTACGAAGTAGGTACGTAATTACGTGCGAACATGGTACGCGTTGGCATCCCTAACAAAAGGGTTTTGTTATCACCTCCGATATGGACGCCCTAAAACCTTTCACGTCGATAAACCACATTATTAGTGAGCCGTGCGAGACGTAAAACAGCCGATCTTTACTTGATAACATTTGGTTTGTGTAAATGTAAAAAATTCGGTCACGCATTCGCCGAGACTCGAAAGCATTCGGGTTTATAAGGAATTTCGTTTTATTCCAACGCTGGGTGTCGAACTACTAAAAACGTTAACAAATAACGGTTTTTGTGCTATCAATGCGATACAAATATAGTAGGAGGGCGAGCTTAGTGTTATGACGCTATCCTCTTTGAAATTGGATTGCGATTGCTATTGCTGAGCCGAGATTGGTGCGATGAAAATTTGGATTTTATGTAAAACTGGATCCGCGATTGGAAATCGCAAAGAAATTGCGGGCTTCACACTGAACGGAGAAAATAGAAAATATACGATACGTTTACTTTTGATATGACCGGGTCGGAGCGGAGCGTCGTTTACGTTGGCAAATCGCAGTCGCGGAGTAGACAAAAGTAAATTGAGACGTAGAGCATCTATTTGTTTTGTCCTTTACACACTTGCCTTTGTTAATTAAAGTAAACATACCTTTTAAACATGAGGTTCTTGGCAAACTCGTAGAGCTCGAGGTCGAGTGAGTTAAGTCGCTTGATGTGTGCGATTTGAGAAGGCGACAGTGCGGCCAGGGTGGCGCCCGACACCGTCGCGTTGTGTTGTGTGAACGGCACCGCGAACAGCAGGTTGAACGTCTCCTCGAACACGTACTGAGATATCTGCACAAAACCAATACGCTTCGTTAAACACAAATATACACACAACCTACAACCACCATACCCTAATAGGAGTCTTAATCTATTTGTCAAAACCTCACCAATCAGCTTGATGGATCACCAAATTGAAAAGGACTGTAATTATGAGTGCCGTACACAATTAAGGTGCAGATGGCTTGACGCACCCCTTTGCTGGATACACAAAAGCATGAGCAACCCCTTGGCATCTGTCAGAGAGCAGTTATTCTCATCCGATCACCAGAGCGTAGCACAGTTGGGTGTTGAATGTAAAGCTCAGCAAGAAAATCTTTACTGAAAGGTTTTCTTAAACAAGAAATAAGCTATTGTTTATTTCCTTGTCGTCTGTCACTGCACCTGGCCCAATTAAAATGTAGAATTCACTTAACGAAGAAATTGGATTACTTGTTATTTACGTTTTTAATTGGACAAGCAAAATCCTCAAATAAACTGGTACATAAAAAGCTTGTAAAAAATACGTCACGTCCAATTTTGGCTTCTCTCTTTCTGTCAGCGTTCCAAAAAGATGCTAATATTTGCAGCTCTTTGGAAAAGCAAAATGTAAACGTAGATCAATATTGGCAGTTCGTTCGGATCATCTTTACAAATATTTGTAAGTTAAATCGTCTATCCGTGCATTAGTTTGTTATGAAACAGTGTTATAGTTCGAAAATGGCGTGTTGTTCTAACTCTGTTCGTGACCACAATGCGTTGTGTAACGTCATAAACAAACATCCGCCATTTTAGAATGTAATTGAAGATTTCTTTTCAATCTTTCGATCCACCTTTTAATGTTTTCTACTTTCCGACGTAAATTTCTTTTGAGTGGTACAGAACATTTATGAACCAATAAATTATTCGGAACATCATTTCTTCCTTGTATGCTTTCTAGATTAAAATTTGTAGTTTAACGATATGCAAGATTAATGTCGCCGGATACGACGCAGTCTGTGATATTCGGAAATAAAATCTGCGACCTCAACATTCAATTTGCAACCATCAAGAATAAATGATATCTAATCAATAAATTTCGACGAGAATTAATGAATATTTAATCATACATTTGAATTGAATTGAATAAACTATATCAACTATTCCCCCATTAACTTCACAAGTGGAGATGATAATGTAGGTATAACATTAATATTTAATTTGCGGTCGTCGCATAAATATTTGCATTACAGCAACATTCTAGCGCAGGAGTGTTGATAAATTAGTAGCGAATTAGTCATGTATGTCGTGTTATGCACAACTTTAATTGCATTATAATTTAACCTTATTTTTCCTAATCGTATACAGAGGGGACATTTTAAATTGAAATTCTGTTATGTATACAGCAGATGTTACGTTACATAACCACATCCTAGTCTTAGCATTAATACTAATTAATATTTTAAACGCTAAATTAGTATACTTGATATGCTTGCACGCCTATGTAAATGGCCAAATCGATTTTTGATGAAAATTTTGAAAGCGAAAGGAATAATCGATATAAATAAAAATTAATTTCCGTTCGTTAGTCTCGCTAAATCCCGAGAACAGCTAAACCGATTTGGCTGATTTTGGTCTTGAAATGTTTCTGGGAGTCCTCCAGGGAAAGTTTAAAAGGTGAGAAAAAAAATTGAGGCGATACCAAGTTTTCCGGTTCAGCTAGTAATAAATAACGAAGCAAGAGCTGTTATAATAAGGATAAACGCAAATATACATTGAAACAAAACGTTTGTTTATACACAAAAGCACACTTTACGTAGCTTAGGAGGTAGGTATGGTATAAAAGTACAACTATTATCCCAGAAACGCGAGCAAAGGCATGAGGAAAGCACTAGTGTGAAATATTCATGAGAAAGTAAACGCTAAAGTATTCTACTTTACGTCCGCTAAAAATACAAGCGTCGGTTGCTTTTACGAAATTAAAACTATCCATGGATTTTATAAATTATTTAAAGCAGTTTTCTAGCACAGGGTCTGCGGCGTTTAAGGATAAAAAACCGTAAGTTACACGAGGGTCGAAGATCATCTACTCGCAAAATGGCGTCAATCTGTAGGTGAATGAAAGCAATTTATATTATGACCGCTCATTAATCGAAACTGTCGATACATTGGAGTCATTAATCTTTAAAGAAAAGAATACTAGAATACTACGAACAAAAAAACACGCTACCAGGCATTTACTTCATTGTTTCAAAAGAACTTTAGCGATACTTACATACAACCAGGCCAACCCTACCACGAATGGGTAATAAACCCTACCACATGACAAGTACTAAAAGGAATCTATTAACACCTCATTTCCGACAACCAATGAACCTTGTCACCCGGCACTTGAGTTAACCCTTTCGTTACACGACGGTATAAAAATAGCCCAAATGAAGGGTTATTCTCATAACCAGTCGTCATAATATCGCGTTTAATTGTTCCTCGAGAAAGCATTACCTTACGGCGCGTGACAGGTTTCAGTTCAGCTTGACAGTTAAGATTGATTAGCTGCCCGCCATTAACTTGTACTTACGTTGCCCATATTAAAATATGATGACGCGACCGTCAAATTTATTGTCATTTTCTTCATTTGCTGTGGCTAATGAGTCCACAAAAAGCTTTACTCAACTAATACATAAATTACAAGGGTAATTATTAAGCGATATGTACGGTTGATTGATCTACGACGATACTTATGTCTCCCATTTGTGAACATTCTTGTTAATTAAAGTCACTTTATTTACGAGATTTGAGAACCAATTCTTCTAACTAGTTGGCTGCCTCATTGGCCAAGTGGCCGCAAGTGCGACGGATTAAAAAAAAATCTAAGTAGTAGCATGGAGTCTGGAAATGTACCCGGTATATGGCAATAGGCTCACCCCATATTACATGGAACTCATAACATAAATAGTGAAAAGTGGGTGTTACATTGTACAGTGACATTAAGTGCCGTTATGTGCACCTCTGCCTACTCTTTCGGGGATAAAAAAGCGTGATGTTATGTTTTTCTAACTAACCCAGAACAAACGGGAACCTAAAACGGAATCCCGACTTACAATGAAACATAATAGTGAATTTAAAACATAATTCGTGTACGGCAACAAATTTTACAAACATAAAATCATTTTAAAAACTTCCTTCTTTTAAAAACTCACATAAAAATGATAAAACCGGTGTGCATAAAAATTTATCTACGCCGTAATAAGTTAGGGGACGTGTTTAAATGTTGCATACGCGTTGAGGTACTAAGTAGTGACGTCACTTCTAGGTAGTTACATTATGTGCGGTTCAGTGGCGGTGCAACCTAGTTTCCATGAAAACCAGCGTTTAACATAACTCCTTACATAAACCATAGTCACGCCTCGGGCGGGTACATAAGTAAGTCGGTTCTCACCTACAGTGCAAGTTTCGAGTAAGAAAATGTCAGGCGCCTAACAAGCCATTTCAGCTTCATGAATATCGACGAAGGTATTTATAGTCTAATAAACTTTGAAGAGCTTCTAGGTAGACTTTGGGTTGAGCTATCATCTGAGAACATTGTTTTGTAATTTTAGTTACGTTTGCGATAGTTAAACTTATATATTAAGTCTTAATACTCTTCGAGTTTAAGTTAGTTAAACTGAATTTACATTAGAATTTGATGATCATACGATAAAAAAAAGAAGTAAATCACATCAGAAAACAACGAGACGCGAACACACGAAGTTACGATATTGGATTAAAATATCATCCGAACAGATTTCTAGTACCACGACAAAAAAATCATAGAAGAAAAGTCCCCACGCATACATTCATTGCAAACTCAATCCTAAAACCAAACAACACAGAGCTTAAAACAAAAACGTATATTGGCTTTACTGCCTTAGTAAAAAAGTTCAGTTAAGCCATACTGTTTATAGATGAGCAATGAATATTCATTTGAACAAAGACCAGTGTGGGTTGGAGTCGGGACAGTGCGGGACAAATGGCGCTGCAGATACGACAATGATTCAAGTGCAAATAATGGCCGAGCTTATCTTTGCGGGGTCACTGGACAAGGAATAAGTAATACCGGAGGCATAACACATGGGATTTGTGTTCTGCATACGCTGCATTTCCATTTCTGTGACATTGTTGCGAGTGTCGTAGACAATATGTATGAAACATTGCTCCCTTATGAGTAGGCTTTAGAAGAAAAATCTACATACTACTCACTAGGAAAGCTGTTAGTCGAATGATGACAATATTGTTATGTATCTAGCTATACACTATATACCGAAAGCCCAGAAACGATTAGCTATATTTGGCAATCGAAATCATTCAATAACAGACGACGAATCAAAACAATAGGGACAGATACCGACCATGAATCACGGCGAACACATACTTGGAGAGTATGTAGGACGACAATATTTAGCAGTACTTATTAAATAAGTCATCCAAGTTCATGACAGAGTAAATCTATCAGCGACAGTGTAAAATAAGTTAAGTACATATGTGTCAGCTCCTTTGTGAGCACTAACGCGTGGAGCACACATTCCAACTTTTCAGGTAAAATCCACATACTGCACTTTGTTACATTAGTGTTAGAGTTTTGCATTTTACATACGTAGAAAGTTCAGTGGAGCGAATGACATCGGTGCCAACGTATATGTGCAACAAAATAGATATTGTGACCGTTCTACGGAAAAGATCACATCGAATGAAGACCGCCATTACCATTTCGCAATCCTTAAAAGTATTAACAGTTGCGGAAAAGAATTTATAGATTGTATTTTTCACAAAGGGTGATAAGCGTTTGGAATAAATTCGCGTGAATTACTTCGGTAGAAATGTATATGTATTCTACAGGACAAGGACGACAGACTTATTGTTGGCCCGTTCGTTCTAGATAAATATTGCTGGGGACCTACGTCTTATCGATAAATGGGATCATTCAGAAGATCCAACTCATTCATGTTTGCGAGTGAAGCTTTAGTAGATAGTAGCTATAAAAATACAAATTGGGAATCAATTACTTGAGACAAAACCCTAAAGAAGCAAAGGAATTTTCTAGAAAAGTTTGTCCACTCAGCGTTTACGTGGTTCGTAGACAACGGAGGCCTAAATGCGTACTCCCTTAAATTATTGATTAATGCATGAGTGGATTTCGTCGGAAATGTGGAGATAGACACTTAGGCAACTACTAAGAGGAAGGTACGAAGGTACTGGGTGAAGGTAAGTTAAATAATCAATGAGTTAAGAGCGATTTCTCGTAAGATGAGGTGGCTGCTCCACGAATTCTAAATTGCAATATCAAGCCTACATCAGCTAAATACAACCCAGGCTACATTGTAAATCAACATCAAGACTAATAAATTGACACTGAATAAGTTAGAATGTCCATTTTAAACTTTAAAGTCATCTTAAAATGTGTAAATTACAATATTTCGCTTGCTCAACGTTATTCAAACTTTGTAGACACCATTAGTCATGAGGGACAGACTTCTTTTACCAAGATGCAACTTACACGCACTTTCGATAAAATGGACTGTTCTATAAATCAGTCATTCACACGTTCTTGAACATCGAACAGGGTAGCTCTGCTCCCCTAAAATAACACCGCGTATTTGCGCTTAAACATTTGGAATTTTATCTAAATGTTTCTGAATCCAATCCTAAGGACGCTTAATCGTAGTAACTAAAGCTTAAAACGTTTTCAGAAGTGTAAAGCAAACAGTGAACAAATCCAATCGGCTTTATATAGATTGTGATTATCGATACGTGAGTAGGTATTGGACAAAATTTAGCAATTAGTTATCATTTGTAACCAACGTATTGGCAGTAAATGTGATCGTAGCTGCGATAACTCTGGCTTCGTGCTACGTTATAATTACTTTTGTACGATTCGGTAGATCCATTATTAATCGGTTATTTATAAAACTATGGGCATCTAAGACTCATAAATTATACGTTTTTCTACTGCCTTCTATTTGATATAATCATTACGTGTAATCCAAATGGTTTGTAAAAGAAATCTATATATATAAAAGAAAGTCGTGTTAGTTACACCACTTATAACTCAAGAACGGCAGAATAGATTTGGCTGAAAATTGGTAGGGAGGTAGCTTAGAGCCAGGAGACGGACATAGGATACTTTTTAACAAATAGTTTTTTTTACTTTTTATCGAAAATCACGAACGGGGACGGGAAAATATGGGATTACGCGTACGAAGTCGCGGGCAGAAGCTAGTTATAGATATTTCCAAATTTTATTGACTGTAAATTACATTTCAATCTTTTACGATTTATGAGATTTTGAGTTAACATTTTAGGCTGAGATCATGATATTACGTACTAACCTTCTGATATTCTGTAAGTCCGAAGTACGCCATTGCAGCAAGATTTCTTTTAGCAGAGGCGAGGAGGACCCTGTCGGTCTCTGCTGTGCGGTGCTTGAGGGTTCCGTTGTAGCAGCCCACCAGCGCCAGATCAGCTAACATACGAGTCTGCCGATTGTTCGCCAGGTTCCAGGGACAGGACATGAACTCTTCGAGAGTCACACCACGCCAAGAGTCTCCGGAGTAACATGCTGGCACTTCAGCAGCTGAGAACAAAAATTATATTTGTATTTTTTTTATCACATAACTAAGCCTTAAAATTACCTGTTTTCATTATCCATTGCTTTTGAAAATATAATTAGTATTAGATACTTATAACTACTAATTAGTAAGGTGTCTCGTGGGTATCTCCAATTTAGATTTACGACACGCAGCTACTAAAGGTGAACTCTATTCTTAGCGAGACACATAGTAAGATCATTATAATGTCTCTTTCACAATTCAATTCAAAATAACTGCCTCGCTGCCTCGTTGGTGGAGTGGTCGCAAGCGCGGCACTGACTGCCGGGCACGGGGTCTCGGGTTCCATTCCCAGGACGGGCAAAGTATTAAAGGGTTTTTAAAAAATTCTCAGTGGTAGCACGGAGTCTGGAATTGTACCGGCAATAGGCTCACCCCCTATTACATGGGACTCATAACATAAATAGTGAAAAGTTGGTGTTACATTGTACTGTGGCATAATGTGTACCTCTACCTACCTTCGATGATAAAAGGCGTGATGTTGTGTTATGTTATACAAAAATATTTCATTCGCAAAAGTGCAGAAACCACTCCAGCCTGGCTTGATGATAAAAATTGACATAATATTTCGCGGATAACAAATAAAAACTTTTAAAAATAAAGGCTTGAAGAACAACTGGCATCAAAGATATAGTATCCTATAAAAACTTCTAACATAAAAACTTAGTTAAAAGTTAGCAACATCAACAACGGTTCGAAAAAACCAAAGTTAATGGAAACATTTTTATGAAAGGTTTCACGAACCAAATATCAATATATCAAAGTTTGCGATTAAACAATATTGTTATACAGAAAGGGAAACAAAATGGCTAACTGGCGAGGAATTCCCGCACGCAATATTTTTATTGTTTATCATTTTAATTAATGTTAATGTCTAGAGCTGATGCTTTAATTCTGAGAGAATCGATCGCAGTCACGCGTGTTTGCTTTCTCCGTGTTCATTCACAACACATTTATTATACCTATTTATCATTTGTTCAGTATCACGCTGTTACAAAGTAATAGGTAGTCAGTTCCCAACTACCAAAAAACAACTTCTTAACAAGCTTAATAAAACACGTCCGACTTCATTTACCGAATTTAATCGAAATCGAGATAGATTGCTGTAGTTCGCACTATTGACTTAATTTAAACACTTTAAAAATCACGATGACTCTCTATAGAACAGCCAGTATTAACGGAAACTTGTGGGTTTTTTATTTTTTTTATGGGATAAGCCGGTAATCGATCAGTCGGATCACCTGACGGTAAGCAATCGGCGTCGCCTATGGACACCTGGAACACCGGAGGCGTTACAAGTAAGTTACCGGCCTTTTGGGTTTAGGATTTTAAGAAAATTTAATTTAGAATATTTGGGGATTCAGGGGTTGGGGAAGGGGGGGGGGGGAGGGCCTCCGGTGACCTCGCTCACACGGCGAAACACAACGCAAGCGTTGTTTCACTCCGGTCTTCTGTGAGGCCATTCGTGCCGAAGTATGGCTCTCCCACACTTAAAACTGTATATGATACTCAAACGTAAATGCAAATTCTGTAATAATAATAATAAAAAGATCCATATAGATAGATATTTTTTATCGTCGTCGTGGTAAACCCTCAGACATAACGAGTTTGTCCTCAAATCTCATGAAATTGAAGACAAATAGCTGACACCTTCTATATTCCCAACCATTTTTGTATCAGCAACAATATCACGCAATATCTTACAACATTTGTGTTTGTGTGTGTAAAATATTCGTATCACGCATCGAAACTGTTTCATTTAATTTATGAACATTGTTAGAAAAACTTGGGTATATTCCTTATTTACTGGTCGTCGGTACTGAAGGGGCATTGAAATTTTGCCTTTAATGCATGACGGATTTTTCAGAGCAACGAAAATGTGTAAGGGCTCTCCAACTTATTTATTTTAAAACATGAGCACCACTTAGAACTTAGGCCTCGGACTCGTAGACCACTAATCCCACATTACTGCGGGGTCAACCTTTCTGATCTTTGCTTCCAATTTGCCCTGTACGTATACCCTCCTAAACTTAATACATTACATCTACCCCAAAACGTATCAGTGTTGACACAGCTTAAAATTTCGCTTCAGAGTTGCCAGAGTGTAAAGATATGGAAAGGGTAATTAAAAATGATCACCCTGTAACACGCCAGCCAAAAGAAAAGGTAAGAAAATGTTTACTAAGAGATTTTTCGATAAACGCGTTCAAAGGGGCCTTGGAGATCAAAAGAATAGCGCGTATGGGGCCATATGGATCCCACTAATATAGACAATATTTTTAGAAAAATATAACTTGTTTATTTATAAATATGAACCATTTTATACAAACGCGGAAATGAGTATCTTCTGAGGAGAAAATACAGACGCTCGAATTGAGAAGTTCTTCCTTTTCGAGATTGGTTATTAAAGTGGTTTCGAGTTGATTCAACCTTTTTCGGTAGTGGAATACGAATTGCTATCCGTATTACAAGTGGTGTAGATACCGTAAATATCGATATCGTTGTGCTTAAAAATATAGCTCGGAACAAATCGATCAGTATTATATTGAGATCTTAATGGTAATTCTGATCTTAAGCTCAATTTGATCATAATGCGTCTGGACGGTAATTGCTAGTACTTTGACAGATCACAAGAACGATAAAATAGATTATGAACGGTTGAAGTATAACGATAGTAACATGATCTATGTAATAATAGGTTTAATTTAATACAGGACACACCGGGCCATAAACTGCTGGAATTTATAGTAACAACAATATTACTGCGAATATGTATGCAGCGGTAGAACGAACACATTCATAAATAGGGAATGACTAAGTATTATAATATTAAACCTATATAATCTGCATAATAACTCGTTAGTTTGTTTATACAGGAAAGATGAAATTTAATAATAATATATTCAGCATTTGCAAAGACAAATCATACAATATCGGACTCCCCGAACAATAACTCTCAAATAGTGCAAATATTTATTATTCCATGAACCCATGACAAATTTTGTCAAAACTGTACCACTGAACGACGCCTGGACCAAAGACTCGCTCCACAGATAAAAATGAATAATACTATTATTATTCTGTGACAAAATACCTATTCGAAGACAAAGTAGATAAAACTAGAATAGTTTTAGAATTATCTGGAACATTTATCATACCTATTTCTTACGGTTGGCCTGTGGTTCCACGCGATAAAACCTTCATTGAATGATGAACGCTTTTAGTTGAAGTGGAAAAATGTACCAGACTGTCGTTTTAGCGGCACCTATCTAATGGAGCTTAAGTCGAATTTACATTCAGGGGTACCTAGAAAAGGCACCTAGAAAAGATGCCCTCCAATCGCTCCAATGCAGAAATGCGACGCTAGTTGGTACTCTTTTTTTTAGGGGGGGGGAAAATCATCGAATGACTCCTCCCAGCCTGGGTGAGGCGGGAGTGAGTCTCAGACTCTTACTGATTAAAAACCACCCCGTTCCTTCTCCTGCACATCGAGCCGGAGCCCCGGTAACCCGTTAGGTTCTCCTAGTTAGTACTCTAGGTGCTTGACATTCTAATTTTGATATTATTTTAGGTGATATCTTCAAGGTAAATGTCAAGCCTCCCCTCTGATTAACAATGACGAACATTAAACGCAGTTGGCTAGACATCAAACCCAATAGCTTAGTGAAATCATAGTAAAACTAAGCAGAATTATCGATATACCTAAGCATATTGTTAAGTAATAGATATCATATGAATAAATAAGGTAACGCCCTTCAAGTCTTACTCATCCGCACTTACTCATTGCATCGTGGGTGCTAAATCAGAAGTCAACTGGATGAACTTGGTGCATGAATCCTTAACACTTATTGAAACGACCTCTCATTGTTATGCCCTAACTCCAATAAAAGAAAAAAAGGATGTATATAGATTTATGTGGAAACCAATCATTTTTCAATGATCGCAGTCTTTGTGTATCAATGTTCTTCAAGACGGTACAGTTGTAGTAATTGAGCAATCGACCGCTGTAGTTATCGTATCGTCCGATACCCGTACGTACTAAACAAATATTTTTATGGCATGTCCAAGACACGATTGTGTTGTTTGTTAGATTTGGATTTCGAAATAGACATGTTTGGACTACTCCTGAATAGAACAAAAGGGACAAAGGGAATACGATAGATGTTTTAAATGTTTTTGGGGAAATATTCTACAAAGGGTCGCTTGATGCCATCTATATCATGTTTTCTATTTCAATCTTCATTAACAGTACGTTTTACGACAATTACACGAGATTCTACTCATGTCCCTAAACAATTAGATCATTTATTTACCTGTAGCAGTTCTTCCTTGACACCAGTGCCGGGATCCCTTCCACGTGGCGCCGCGTTTCACGTGTCTGTACTCCGACAAGTACCTGAACAAAACAATACATAAATAAACAAAAAATAAGGACCTTTATCTCTCTCCTCCATAGTAACTTACGTAACTGAATAGATAGCAATTATATACGAATAATGTGAATATAAAATAAGCTCTATTAACATAGCTAAGGCCAACGATGGAAGGTTGCCAATCGAATTTGACCCCAAAAAATAAGTATTCCGACAATTAATTCATAAATTCAACACAAAATAGCCAATAATACCCTAATTGCTCCATCTATCAAATTAGTATACTATGGTTCGAAATGATAGAAAACCATTATGTAGAGAAACTATGAAATTAAAACCCGCCTATAAGATCTAATGACTATTACAAACATAATGGAATAAATTTGGGGGCACAGACATGATTACAGTAGACCATTATGAATTTGGGATGATATAATCATCTAGAGTCAACATGAGCAATTTAATAACTTCACCAAAAAAGGCACACGTTTGGAAAAAATCGAAACCGACTGATATTATGAAGTAGATCAACATAGTCTAATAAAAATATAATTTATTTTTTTACGTGTACGGAATGAAAATATTGTCGAATGATGTAAGCGCTTACTGAACGAAAATATTGACGAGGGTCGGTGACAGCTTTCGAACACAGCTTATTATGAAGCTAGCTAAATTACGACCCAAGGGAAACTAGCATTTAATGGGCTGTGTGACTCCCCTTTTTACCTGTCAGTAAAACTTTATTGATGTAGCTCATTCCCTGCTACAGACAAACGTGTCTGAGTCTAATGAGGTTTTATTTCTACGTCTCATTTGAGCAGTCGGCAAGTGTAAGCACAGAAAAACAATACTTTACTGAAGTCCCTAAAATAATATCCAATTATGTATTCGATAAGCAACTAAGGTAACTTTTCCCATTATAAATCTACGTTATTCTTAGACAATAATCAATATTTCCCATGTGGTTACACTTAGATGATTCTCAGAAATGGCACACATGAAAATGACTTCGTAAAGACTAAGAATTCCAATTTTATGCCTCTGCAAACTCAATATAGGGAGGAAGCCCAGGGGAATCATTGCTAACAAACGATTTGTACAGTCATTCCTGATGTGATGGACTGGGAGGTACGCACGTTTACGATTACGTTCGTTTCGCCTTCAATAAATTTTATATGAAAAAATTGAACGAGGCCACGTGTGCTGATTTTGGACCACGTTTCCTTAGAAACATTTTTTCTTCAAGTCAAGACTCGTGCCAGACCCCCTGATGAGGTAAAGGAGGTCAACATACGCAAACAAAACATCGTAACCGAGAATATCACGTATTCTTTTACACTCGTGATAAATATTCTGCGGCAACCTTCCATATATGAAGACCTTTAGCATTTTGTCCAAAACATGCTTATATACAGGTTTTCTAAAAATATGTATCAAGAAAAAAAATCAGGAGAATGTTAACGGGAGCATTTATGGTTTTGCATTAAACGCAATTACACGTTTACAGCAGCTTAAAGTAAAATATGTGCTATTAAAGGCTGCACATAAGCAAGTATAGTGTAATTAAGTAAGCTAAACCGGGTATATGGAACATTATTCGCAGGTTTAAGCTAGCACCGTGAACCGATCCAATTTAAGGCTACGCGTTCAACAGTAATGTAATTATGAGAATAGAATCAAGCTCACTGCACACTAACTGGCACAGCAACTATACTGAGATATAAAATTGATGCTTATTAAGTTAAACGGTGCCATTTAATCTCGAGGGTCTAAACCTACAGCATGTTTCAAGGATTAATAAGGTATTACCTAAAACAATCGCACATAAAGCTCTCGATATTCTAACAGCTCTAATCATTTTTTTTATTTCAATCTAGAAAATTCTCTCACCTGGACACAGGCTCCCGTAGCAGTGTGATGTAGAAGTACCGTCGATGCACAGCGGATCCCTCGTGCCGGTCCAGTTCCCCGCCCACACACGCAGTCAGTTCCGTGAAGTCAGCATGTAGACCACACCTGGGAACAAAGGATAATGTTCTTTGAGTATGCGATGCTATTAATAAATTACGCTTTTCGTAATAAAGAATTCTTTTACTTCAGTAACTTGCGGAAAATTCGCTGTTCCTTGAATGAAGACTTCTCATTTGGTTATTATCCGTATGAAATAATTAGAAATCCTAAAATCTTATAATTAAGTCATTATTAACAGTTTCAACAAAAGTAATTTTCGATTTCTTGGTTTTATTTAAATATATTTTCTACGTATCTGCTACTACACGTCCGTGTGAATGAACAGTTACGTTATTTATTGCAATAAAGTTTCTTCCCCGAACTTAAACAACTTATTATGTTTCAGGAACTACACGCTAGTTTAAAATCTTGAACAAACTAAATTATAAAGAGCGTAGTACTTTGTTAAAACTTGAAACGCGATCCACAGAAGTCCGAGAACGTTCAAGACTTTTTATTGAAGATGCAACATAGTTTAGTAACAAGTTCAACGTTTCAAAGTTACCTTAAAAGGTGTAGAGACAGCACCCTCAGCTAAGCAGAGATCAAAAGGTCGATTTAAAAATAAGCTCAGAGCTAGGATGGAAGGTAAAATGGACGCAAATATTTTCCGTCACTGGAATATAAATCGTGGTAGAGACAGAACAGAATGTTCGTTGAAGAGCCGCGTGAAGTGAAGCATGAAGTCACAGATAGGTCGGCTACGACCACGCTCACTGCTCCCGATAGTCGATAGCCGCATCGGAATTGAATCCCTAGCTTTCCAATAAATTCTCACGCTCCCATCTTGTCAAGCTTGCTTAGTATTCATAATCCTGTAGCGGTGTTCATATTCTATTGAACAGATTAACCTGCTATGCATCGGGGCATAAATTACTTTGATTCAACAACAATACCGAGCCGATGTTGGCACGCCGAACGCCAGCGTTTCGCTTGATAATATTGGATAATCGGCATTAGGGTCGCCGCGTTTACGTGTAATTGACATCAAACGATCTCCACATGCCGATCGCGATACCGATACATGATACATTGTTATATAACGTGTCGTAAATGTTGTTTGTCTTTGCTGAACCAGTTTAATGAAACACCACAGATAAAAATTCGATTTGCATGCGTTTACCGTAGTTACCCATAAAGGGAAGAGATTTACCTTCAGTCAGACTGCTCGGCGGCGAGGCGAGGGTTTATAGCAAACGTGCGTTTAATCAAGATACAGAGTCGTGGTTGGCAACCAGCCACACTACACCTTGCCGATACAACTCTGTTTATTACCCATTCGCTTTATTACACTGTCATTCTAATTTCATAGGTCTTTATGCCACAATAAATTGTAAATAACGTGGAAATAATTGCCAACAACAACCACTCCCATACAAGGCACTAATGACATCTAGACCTCGGTGCAATTACAGATTATATGTGTAAATTGGTGATGAATACAATTACCGCAACGTGACTGACGACTTATGCAAACAGAAGCTATTATGATAGTGTCAAACCACTAATGTTTACCTACATGTCTGACTCAAAAATGTTTTCCATCTGGCAAAAAGCCATCATTTCACGTTTTAAATTCGAGCTATTCCTGCAGATATTATCGTTGAGTTTTAGAAATATCTACATAAATATAAATAAGCATTAATTCACTAATCCTCATCTTCATCAATATGTTGTAAAACTCACATTTTATTTTCATTGAGGTAAAGAGAAACGAAGTGATCGTTTATCTTATGTAATGAATGTGTAACACATTTATTGTGAAACGAAAGTGCTGCAAATTTTATTTAAGAAAATAACAAGCGCTCATTCGGTAAATCATATTGCGGGAGAATTCATGGCATGGCCAAAAGCTCCGTGCTTCTGTGTACAAATATGACGTTATCAACGTTCGCGGAGCGCATCGCTGCGAAATGTTGACAAATGTTATTGTCCATTAGCTAGTAGTACAGGCAAAGTGTGACGATAACGGCTCCCGTAGGATATTCGAGCGCGGATTGGCAATACGCCACTTCCCTGTGAACATGCACGCGGCCGAGCGGGCTCTCACAGCGGTTCATTCACCGCCTGAATGCCAACAACACACCACTCGCCCCCGATGCCACGCGTTGAATTAGCTAACGTTTAACAACAATACTGCCAACCTTCCCAAATATATTACAGTCGTTACACATTATCTCGTTGCCGATCTAAATTCCGAGCACAAAAATGTTGCGTTAGAACGTAAGTATCTAGTTTCTAATAACGATATCGTGTGTGCTGCGGGCTGTCCAGACTAAACAATACTTTTTATGAGCACCCTAATCATTGGAGAATCGTTTAAATGTGCCCCGCATTAACGTAAATCAAAGAGCCACGATCATTATTTATCGAACAAAAACGTGATGTTTCTGCTGATCGATCGATACCACCAACGTCAGCCCGGGACCCGAGTACCTAAAGATAGATTGCAGTAAATCATTAGTTTTTAAAAAGGTTTTTAGCAAGCGCATCGCTCGGTCACTGTCTTCTTTTAAATATTCACACTAAACACTGGCATTCACTTGACGTCACCAGTCTATTTGGGCTTAATGTCATGTCAGCCATGCATAATTGTAACATATTTTTTGCCATTTTTCATTTCATATTTAAGAATAGCATCGTTAAGAGGTGGAAATATAACACAAAATACAAAACAACATTCATGACAGGACTTGAAGACAGTAGAAAATCGCTCATTATTTTGTGCCAATCATATCTCGACGAAACACGGACACAAAAACACGGAACTAATGGAATAAGTTCGGGAAATTACCTTAATGTAAGCTTTAAATTATAGACATTTCATTCCTTATTTACTTTAAATAAACTTTATTCAAATATATCTTCGTTTTTATTTATTTATTTATTTAAGTTTTACACAATTCCATAAGGAAGACTTAATGCTAACAGCATTCTCTGCCAGTCACCCTTTGGGTAGTGCAGAAATGTATGTGGTAGGTGGTGGTGGTGTGGTGGTTTTTCACTTCACTTAGCACGTCACATTAACATTTTCAACACAAAACGAGATGTGCAAGATACGTGTACGTACGTGCGCTTGCAAGGCGCCACATATGAACATATCGCATCTATCATGTCTTCGTTGAAATCCCAAAATAATTAGAACCTCGGTCATTTCATAATTACGGCTGAAAATGTAAGCATCGGAGCGCAAGTCGAGTCTCCCAGTGCGCGACAAAGACAAATGAGATTTGCTTCCGACAGTATGAAAGACAAAGCTAGTAAAAAGCGCGGCGCGCGGTCGCACTATGAAGGCTTACAAAAGCTATATTGCTAGTTATACCATTTTTCCACGCGTGCTGGATTGCGAAACCAAGCACAAACTTTGTTTTCAATTTTCTTCTTTCGTATACAGAAACAGAGTTTAACCGCTCCTATCTGAGCACAGTTGTTGGGAAAATAAAATATTTTTGCTTTGTATACAATTCTGAAAAGGATGCCAACTATTATTACCAAATATAAGAATATCTTGTTTACACATGAATACGGAAATTTATATTCATCTGGATTAAGTGGTTTGTCCACATTTGGAGAACGTAGCTACTATCGTTTTCGAAGAAAACCCAGAAGTCAGTGTCGACAGCTGCGCCGAACAAACATTCAGAAAAAGAATAATGGAAGATCTTATATTAAAAGTGTGTTATATACATACGGAAATGTCGGTCGTCGTCTGTAACGATCTATTGTGTTGGGACAGGCGACGACGGCTGAATAGATATGAATATGTACATCATAATAAGCTATTAGTAACTAATATTGTCATGATAATATCTCCAGTCTATAGTATAGTGAATAGTAGAAAAAATAACATAAGTAAATATTGGTAGACCGTGGAAGTATTCATGTCAAATGACTTAACTCGTCTCGTCAAAGAGCGGTTCGAATTTGGCAGAAGTGTTCTGTGACACAAACGAATATAAAATGAAAAGCGACAAAGACACGTCTGACAGGAGCCCACCTCTAACGGAAGGTAGTTACCGGCTTTGTATTTAAGGCAAACATAATCTGCTAATCCCTACAAGCGGATCCCAAAGTGGCGAGACGAGCCACTACCAAAAATACTCGTGTTTCTAGGAGCCCTCCGATGTTACAAATAAAAAGAATTTCGTTACAAGACAGAATGATTGATTTATTTGCCTTTATTGTTTACTCCGAATTATTTCCTACGATTCATGTTTGTATATGGCTTTCCAAATAAGCCGCAAGGACCATGTAAGCCACTCTGATATTAAAACATTTTCCTAATGACATACTTAATCGAGAACTCGTAGTGAAGCCGTGGAGGTAAAGACTAATTTGATGGCCAGAAAGGATTTCGTCGACCCTCAGCCGTATTAACGCGGTTTCGACATGAGAAGGAAATTACATCTCTTTTTATTTCGTCCCGCCGCTCTTTCTCTAATGAAAACCTTCATTGCGGTAATCCTCACATCTAGGGGATTACTCAGTGTAACTTGCTAATTGCCACATCTCTCATAATATATGAAGGAGGATAGTTTATTATAACAAAATTTCGCATCCGTTGAAAGATTATGGAGAAGACGAAAAAAAAAAACCAAAGCGATAGCTAATTTTAGATGCTTTTATCTTAAAATAAGACCACGTGTCGTTAGCACGTCGTACCTCCATACAAGAAACATTCCTTTTACTTTGATGTTTAAGAAAATTGCAGAGATAAGAAAATTTGCCTTTTACCATTAGAAATACATTACTTTGTACATTTGTGTTAAATTAACTGGTGATATATTAGATGAGCCGCTCACGAGTGCTTCATGACTTATTTTCATGTTATTGGCGTCAAATATATTGGGTGTAAGAATACTTGGAATATAACTGTTCGGGCAATTTGTAAGTCATCTATATTAGCTTGCGAAGCCATGAATCCATCTTTCGATAGTAACGAGCCATTTGCGAACTTTAAACCCAATCGCTATCTGCTTAACGAGCATAAGTTATTGCTATGCATC